GGCATGTACCTTGGTTGCGGGCACATCCCAGGAGGGGGTGTGCGGGAGGCAGCTGATTGATGTTTCTCTCTCATAGATGTTTCTAACTCTCTCTCCCTCTTCCTTTCTCTCTGTAAAAAATCAATTAAAAAAAATTTTTTTTTACAAGTCTATGGAGCCCCACTGGTGTGGCTCAATTGGTTGAGTGTTGTCCCATGCACCAAGAGGTTGCTGGTTCAATTCCCAGTCAGGGAATATGATACGATATGGGTACCAGAAAGCATAAAGATGCTTTTTTCAAATTCTAATACAAATAAACTCCACTACCGGTAATTCTATATAATAAAAGTCTAATATGCAAATTGACCAAACAATAGAAAAACCAGTCGGTGGGGGGTGGAGCCAGCAGGTGGGCAGTGGCAGGCCAGCCAAGGAGGGTGTCAGTGGGCAGAGGAAGGGGATGGCGGCGACCGGTGGCAGAGGGGTGATCGGGGACAGGGCATGCCACTTGTAGGCCCCCAATTAGCCCACCAGTTGCCTCCTGCAGGGGTGGCCAGACTGCGCTTAGGCCCACTCCTCAGGGAGTGGACTTATGTCAGTGGGATATCCCCCCAAAGGCTCCCAGACGGCAAGAGGGCTACAAGCCAGGCTAAAGGACCGCCCCTCCCACAGTGCAGATTTTTGTGCACCGGGCCTCTAGTAAAATAGTAAGTTTGTAGATATTTATGACTGTAAATTTATTATTATAGGCCCCTAGTTACAGAAACCATTTATCAATAGAAGAAACAATTCTACTCAGCTAGGCTGGAGTAGCTCTCAGCTGGTTGGGCATCCTCTCATGTGCCAAAAGATGGCTGGTGCGACTCCCAGGGCACATGCCTGGCTTGTGGGTTTGATCTTTGGTCAGGGCCCATGCAAAGCCAAATGATGTTTCTCTCTCACATCAATATATTTCTCTCCCTTCCTCTCTCTAAGCATGCCCTCAGATGAGGATTAAAAAATATTCTATCCAGATATTAAATTTATTTTATTGTTGAAAGAATAACTGAATTCTATGGAATGAACTATGTTTATACCACAGGTGTTCCAAGAGTTCACAGGGAAAAAAAGATGGGAAGTGATCATTAAATATGAATGCACAAAATAATCCTAAAATCTTCAAAAGTGCAATGTTAAAAGGCATTATTAAAAATCTAATTCAGTATTAAATGTAACCTTATCTAATTTGAAACATCACTTTCTACTTTTTTCTTACTTGTATCATTATTAGATCACAAATTCCCTGGTCCTCAAGTTTATAAACAACTACAAAAACTCAAGACAGGAATCAGTAGTGGAGAATAATGGTTTTCATTTTTAACAGGTTTAACAGAATAGGGGAACAATTTTCCATTGTATTTCCTTAGTCAGCAAATGAATACCATTTTGTTTTTATTTTTTAAAATATATTTTTATTGATTTCAGAGAGGAAGAGATAGGGAGAGAAACATCAATGAGAGAGAATCACTGATAGGCTGCCTCCTGCATGCTCCGTACTGGGGATTGAGCCTGCAATCCAGGCATGTGCCCTTGACTGGAATCAAACTGCAGGCCAACACTCTATCCACTGAGCCAAACCAGCTAGGGCTTGATACCATTTTGAAGAAACCCCTTCCTAAATTTTATTAAGTATTCTTTTAGGGCTTCTAGTTCTACAGCAACAGCCAAAGAAGTATAGATTTTATTGTAAATCCAGTTAATTAGTCCCTAGATCAATATGAGGGAAAGTGTCTCTGACTCTTCTCATCAATGTGCTCACTGGGTACTCTGCCAGAAGTAAAGCAGTATCTTATTTAAAGACCATTAGAATTGAAATTATAGTTCCTTTTTAAAAAAAATATATATTTTATTGATTTTCCACAGAGAGGAAGGGAGAGGGACAGAGAGCCAGAAACATAGAAGAGAGAGAAACATCGACCAGCTGCCCCCCAGCACCGACCCCCCCCCCCCTTTGGGGATGTGCCCGCAACCATGGCACATGCCCCTGACCAGAATTGAACCTGGGACCATTCAGTCTGCAGGCCGACACTCTATCCACTGAGCCAAACCGGTTTCGGCAGTTCCTTTTTTTTAAAAACTATATTTTTTAGAGTATTATAGATTTCCCCCTTTGGCCCCCCCAAACTCCCTTCTACCAGGTTCCTGCCCCACTCCAGGTCCAATAGGAATGTAGGAAATAAGATGGAGAAGATTATAATGGGGCATAAATAGATCCCTGGAAAACACAAGATTTACATAATATTAAAATGGGGTTAATTGACCAAATGTAATGCATGGTTCTTGATTAGAGCCTGTTTTTTTAAAAAAATATTTTATTGATGTTTCACAGAGAGGAGGAAGGGAGAGAGATAGAGAGCCAGAAACGTCGATGAGAGAGAAACATCGACCAGCTGCCTCCCGCACACCCCCCACCGGGGATGTGCCCGCAACCAATGCACATGCCCTCGACAGGAATCGAACCCGGGACCCCTCAGTCCGCAGACCGACGCTCCACCACTGAGCCAAACTGGCTTCGGCTAGAGCCTGGTTTGAACAATAAAACTACATGGGGACAAATGGGAAATCTGAATATGGACTGGGTATTAGATTATATTCTAAATTATAGTTAATTTTGTTAAATGCAACAAAATTAACTATGATTTATTTGAATGGAAAATGTTCTTGTTTAGAGATGTATATTGAAATATAAGCAAAAAGATAAAAACAGTATGTCAAATTGTTAAAAAAAAAAAAGATGAATATAATAGGAACACATTAAATTAGTCTTGTTACTTTTCTATAAATTTGCAATTTTTCATAATAAAAAGTAAAAAAATCCTTCAAAAAACAGAGTTACTATTTCAGTTTGGTGTCAATATAGTAATAATGGCATTTCCCAGTAAGCAACTGGCCACCAGGATAGTTGTTCCCACTTATCCCTTCTATATAAAAAGATCACCTTAGTGAAGAATAGTATTTTATTTGCTCTAGACAATATTTATAAATTTGGCCAATATCAGCGTGTTCATAATAGCATCATGTCCTTGAATTTCTTTGCTTTTCTACTCTTTGTTGCACCCACTTACAAAGTCTCAAATCTAGAATAACAAACTAGCCACCTTCTCCATGAATGTATTCTGGCAGATACTCCTGCAAAAAAAAAAAATTACACAAGTAATAATTACCATATTCTGGAATCCCAATAATGTTTGGTGATTCTTCTTAATTTCTCTAGTTACAGCTTTCTCCTAAAAGCTATAAAGACTACTTCAAACTTTCCTTCTATGAAACCAAACCCAGTCCTACTCAGTCTCAGTAAATGATCTTGCCTTCCACATAACAAACAAAAGCATTCAAAGTAACTTCCTCTGCTTCCTGCCATCAAATTTGTAAATCTCCCTGTAGCTATACTCATAGTCTATTTTTTCCCTCCTTTACAATGAAGAAGTTTTTTTAATTGACTTCAGAGAGAAAGGGAGAGCGAGATATAGATAGAAACATCAAAGATGAGAGATTATCATTGATCTGTTGCTTCCTGCACACCCCACACTGGGGATTGAGCATGTGCCCTTGACTGGAATTGAACCCAGGACTCTCCAGTGTGCAGGCTGACATTCTAGCTACTGAGCCAAACCAGCTAGGGTCTTTTAAAAAATATATATAAATATTTTATTGATTTTTTTACAGAGTGGAAAGGAAGAGGGACAGAGAGCTAGAAACATCGATGAGAGAGAAACATTGACCAGCTGCCTCCTGCACACCCCCTACCAGGGATGTGCCCACATCCAATGTACATGCCCTTGACCAAAATCGAACCTGGGACCCTTCAGTCCGCAGACCGACGCTCTATCCATTGAGCCAAACTGGTTGCGGCTGAAGAGGTGTTTTTTTTTTGTTTTTTTTTAAATTAATTAATTAATTTATTTTTACATATTTTAATGATTTTGAAGAGGTGTTTTTTAAAACAAGGGCCAATCTCCTTCACCTGTGAACATTTCTAACCTTTTGCACTCTCTTAGGAGCCTCCTAACATCAAATACCTCTCTCCTGAATCCTCTTCTCTACCGAGTCCTTCATATTTAGACATGATTAAGTTTCTCATATTAAAAAATAAAAAACACTTTTTGGATTCCAATTCAGCTCTGCCCCTTCCTGAACTGTTGTAAGAGGTGCTTTATCTGTTTCTTGTTCCTGACATCCCAAGCACTTATTAACCAATTCAAATAGAGTTTTTCCTGCTGCCAACATTCTCTAAGATACCAATGAAATCCATATCACTAATGGACTCTTCTCCAGTATTCGCCCACCAGCATTTAATAACTGAGATCTCAATTTTTCTTGATACACTATCTCCCTGTTGGCTTATCAGTGTTTCCCAGACTTTTGACATATGTGTACCCCTTCTATAATTTTCGTAACGCTGAGAACCCCTCGTACTCATGAGAACAAAGAATTAGGCGCAGCTAAGCACAGTGCAGTGCATAGCCCCACTAAACTCTGGTGCAAAGCATACCCCCACCAAACTCTTCCCATATCCCTGGGGGTACGCATACCACACTTTGGGAAACACTGGCTTACATGATGTTATATTCTTTAGATTTCCCTTTTATTCTTTTCTTTCTTAGTCTCCTTTGCTAGTTCATACTCCTCCAGCTAATCATGAAATGTTGGCACTCCTCAAATCTGTCTAAGGCCCCCTCTTTTAGCCTCATTCATATTTTTCTTGTAAATCTCCTTCTATGCCAAAATTACTATTTGTACACAAATTATTCCAGTTTTGAACCATTTTTCCCAACATTTCCACTTGAAGCAATGTCTCAGATGCCTCTGACGTAACAATTAAGTAGCTAATCCATCCTATCCTAAAAAAAGGTATTTAATAATTACATTCATAATTTGATGATTAAGGAATATTATGCTAATTTTTTTATTTTGAAGCAGATGAGACATTTCTAAATCAAGTTCCTTTAATTTCAAATAACAAAGTTATTTCTATATCATACCTTGTATTTGGTCATGGTGCTAAAATGATTATTCCGAAAAAACACACAAAGTTCTCCTTCCTGGACCGTTGAAGTTAGTTCACATAATCCATGGTATGTCAGTTGAGTGGCTGTGTTATTTAGAAACTGCTCAGCTACAAAGCCTATGGAACCAATGCAAAATATTAGATAGAAGAATAATTTCGAAATTAAAAAGTTTTTCTATTTACATTGTGTTACAAGTATAAAAAAAGGCCAGTCAGAATAAAACTTTTCCTACAATAACATAATGGTCCCAAATTGGAGATTCTACCTTTTTATTTTAAAAGATGTGTCTTTAGATATCCCCAACCTAAAGAAAAGTTACATAAAATTATTTTTATTAATCAATGTATTTATATATATTTTACCTACTTCCTAAAAAGAATTTCAGGCAGCTTGCAACAAAATATATAGATACAGTAAAACTAAAACCTACTAAAACAAGTAAGGCAAGAATTAGCAATTTAGCCAAAACCGGTTTGGATAGAGCGTCGGCCTGCAGACTCAAGGGTCCCGGGTTCAATTCCGGTCAGGGGCATGTACCTTGGTTGTGGGTATATCCCCTTTGGGGGGTGTGCAGGAGGCAGCTGATAGATGTTTCTCTCTCATTGATGTTTCTAGCTCTCTATCCCTCTCCCTTACTCTCTGTAAAAATATATTAAAAACAAAAAGAATTAGCAATTTAAAAAGTGCATAGGAGCCTGGCCAGTGTGGCTCAGTGGTTGAGCATTGACCTATGAAACAGGCGGTCACGGTTCAATTCCCGTCAGGGCACATGCCCAGGTTGCAGGCTCGATTCCCATGTGAAGAGTGCAGAAGGCAGCCAATCAATGACTATCTCTTATGATTGACTAGAGGCTGGTGTATGAATTCGTGCATAGGTGGGATACCTCTGGGTGGCCTGCAGGGATCGGGCCAAAACCCGCATCCAATGCTGCCTGCAGCTCCTACCTGATGCTTCTGCTCAGCCTGGCCCCCACTGTGCCTGCCAGGGCTCATGCTGCAATAGCAGCGCTCACTAGCCATGAACCCTGCGTCTGGTGCCTTCCCAAGGGGAGTGGTCTGTGGGACTGGGCTGAAACAGGCTCTCCAACATTCCCCAAGGAGTCCCGGATTGCAAGAGTGTGCAGGCCAGGCTGAGGGACCTCCCCATGGTGGTCAGTGCATGGCATAGTTAGTGGTTGAGCAGCTTTAGCATATCATTAGCATACTATACTTTGATATAATAGGTTATTCAGGTGTTCTGCCACTCGATCTATTTGCATATTACCCTTTTATTATATAGGATGTTTCTATCCCTCTCTCCGAAATCAATTAAAAAATTAAAATTTTTTAAAATCTATTTTTAACAGAGAGGAAGGAAGAGGCAGGAGAGCTAGAAACATCGATGAGAGAGAAACATTGATCAGCTGCCTCCTGCACACCTACTGTGGATGTGCCCGCAACCAAGGTACATGCCCTTGACTGGAATCGAACCCGGGACCATTCAGTCCACAGGTCGATGCTCTATCCACTGAGCCAAACCAGTTAGGCAATAAAAAAATATTTTTAAAAAAGGAGTAAAATATCTGTCAACAGCTCCTTCCCCAAAGATAGGTTTTTAGAAATTAAAAGTAGTCTTAACAAATTGAGTTGCTTAAGATTTTAATAAAAGTCCCAGATAATTTGAAATTCACAAACTGCTCAATTCTTGCCTTAAACCTAAAATTGAAGAGAAAACAGTGGGTAACTGATGCCATTTTATTCTAATCTCCGCTAACATATGCCACTTTATATCTATCTATCTATCTATCCATCCATCCATATCAAGTTCAGAAATAGAAGTGATCTCTTTTGTTTTCAAAACATAATAAAATATACAAAAGTTTTCTGTGGTTTAATTTAAAAGACATGTAGAGTTGATCCTTGCTAATGGCCAAATTTGCCTACTAGCTAAGATTTATTAACTCCAAAATCAATACTTGCTGTTCACTTTCAGGGTCATTCCTGGATATGTGCAAAGCTGCAAAAAAAATGAGTCACCGAACATGCACATTCCCAACTGAAATCAAACAAGGCAACACTAGGCCATGTTTCAGCTCTCATACTGTGAACAAGTGTCCTTTTCAAGTCTATGGAGTGCCACATTCTTCACATTTTTGTGCTTTTGGTGGAATGATTTTTACTGTTAAAATGGCCCCCAAGTGTAACAATGGAGTGCTTGCTGCTGTTCCTCAGTGCACAAAGTCTGTGATGGGCCTACGGAGAATATATAAATTTTTGTAGCTTTGTCCAGGTGAGTTATAGTGCTGTTTGCCATGCATTTAATGTCACTGAATCAACCATATATTGAATGTCTCTAAACAGAAATGCACATAAAACAAGGTTATGAATTTATCAGTTGATGAAAAGCTTGTGACTAAAGGCTCACAGGAACCTAATCTTGTGTTTCCCGTAGGAGCAATGGTTTAGTATTCACTAACTCAGTGTTCATAGCAATTTTATAGAACAGCGATTTTCAACTGGTGTGCTCAAGAATTTTTAAAACATTCAATACCTGCTCTGGCCAGGTAAAACATGCAATTCCTGCTCTGACACTCAGCAGTTACTGTCAGCCTGTGCAAGAGTTGCGGGCTTGATTGCCAGTCAAGGGCATGTACCCCCAATCAGGGTGCATGCTGGAGGCAGGTGTCTTTCTCACATCGATGTTCCTCTTTCTCTCTCTCTCTCCTCCTCCCTTTCTCTCTGAAAAAAGAAAAGAAAAAAAAAAGGGCAATAGAATAAACATCCTCAGGTGAGGATTAACAAAAACAAAAACAAAAAAAACAAGCAATACCTGATTATTTAATCAGGGGCATTAATCTCTTTTTCCTTAGATTGTCAAATAAAAAAAAATGTTAACAGCCAACACAATAGCTGTCCTGTATGAATGAATGAAAATTATATCAGATTGGCAAAAAAAGTATTTTTGGCGTGCCACAGAATTTTAGCAATTAGTTTATACGTGCCATGAGATGAAATCCGCTTTTACAGAACATAACTACTGTGAATAATGAGAATCAACTGTATACATATTTTAAAAGCCTGTATTTCTCTTCTTCTGATCTTTCTCTTCTTCCTTTTGTTCCCTTACTGAAGAAGAAAACTCTCAGAAACTATGGGGGGAGGGGAGGCAGAGAGTGCTCTAGAACAGCAGTCGCCAACCTTTTGGATCTCGTGGACCACCAGTGGTCCATAGACCAACAGTTGGTGACCGCTGCTTTAAAAAGTTGTATAAGTGAGCAGAGAGGTACAAATATAAGGTGTTCAAAAACTGACACCTCAATAAGAAATTGAAAATAAACTTGGAAGGGCCAAGGCAGCTACAGAGTGTAGGTTTATTCCACTTACTCTCCCATCCCTCACCCTTATTGTCAAGCCACACCAAACCAAGCTGCTAAGTGGTTGTAAAACATTATCAATATATCACACTATTCCCTTTCTCTCTGTTAAAAATCAATAAAATATATTTTTTTAAAAAAAGAGCAATGTTTCCTAATTCTTCTACCAACTCTTAAACAGTGTGATTTTAGTGGAATATTCGAAAACCTAATCTACAATAGTTTCAACTTTTTAAAAAAAATATACAATATCTTATTGATTTTTTACAGAGAGGAATTGAGAGGGATAGAGAGTTAGAAACATGGATGAAAGAGAAACATAGACCAGCTGCCTCTTGCACACCCCCCACTGGAAATGTGCCAGCAACCAAGGTACATGCCCTTGACCAGAATCGAACCCAGGATCTTTCAGTCCGCAGGCCAACGCTCTATCCACTGAGCCAAACCGGTTGCGGCTAGTTTCAACTTTTCATAACCAATTAAACAAAATCTGGGAAACAATTCTAAGCATTATATAGCAGTTTATTTATCTGCATTGCTTCAAATATTTTATTTGCAATATTTACATTAAATTACAATTTATTAATGATAATAAAGTAGGGCGAAAATTAATATAATGATAATAAGGTAATATCACTGAAAATAAATTTAAATGAGAAATTATTTTCCTGAGAGGGGTTAGGAAGGGTTGCCATGGTGCGGGCCTGGGCCACCAGCCATGTGAGTAGGCCTTCCAGGGTGGGTGCTGCTGTCCCCAGTGACTCCAGAGCAGCCTCATTTTTTTTTTGGTCAACTCAGGACAGACATTCAGCTCTTCCACTCACAGACTCTATGACTGCAGCCAGGCCAGGCATCACGAACCTGTACCCTTCACTCATAACCCCCACCACACAGCCCTTTGAGAGCTCAGAGATCATGCCACAGCTGCAAAATAGTTTCCACAGTAAATCTTGGTTGTAAACTTGACCTAAAAACCATTGCACTTCGTGCCTGAAATACTGCATATAATTCAAAGTGGTTTGCTACTGTGATCATGAGAATGAGGGAGCCCCGGACCACAGCCCTGATCTTTAATTCTGGGAATATGATGTGCACCGGCACCAGGAATGAAGACCAGTCCAGACTAGCAGGAAGAAAGTATGCCAGAGTTGTACAGAGTTGGGTTTCCCAGCCAAATTTTTGGACTTCAAGATACAGAACATGGTATGGAGTTGCAATGTGAAGTTCCCCATAAGGTTAGAAGGCCTAATGCTGACCCACCAACAGTTCAGTAGTTATGAGTCAGAATTATTTCCTGGTTTAATCTACAGGATGATTAAATCCAGAATTGTTCTCCTTATTTTTGTTTCAGGAAAAGTTGTATTACCAGGTGCTAAAGTCAGAGCAGAAATTTATGAAGCCTTTGAAAGCATCTACTCTATCTAGGGAAGACAACGTAATGGCTGTTTTTCCCTCCCACCCACTAGTTTTAAAAACACATCAGTTTTTGTACACTTAAATGGTGGTGTTGAGGGTAGCCTGGGTCTGTGTGGATTGTAGCCTGTCTTACTGTAGTGGCTGAACTGTGCTGACCATCTATTTAGATTTAGATTTTAAACTCCTACTACTGTTGACAAGTTGGTTTAAGAAACAAAACTCTGACCAGGGAGTAGGGGAGGCTGGAGGAAGGTCATTGGGGGAAAAAAGGAGATATATGTACTACTATTAGTTTTGTTTTTTAACATATTTTATTGATTTCTTACAGAGAGGAATGGAGAGGGATA